CACTTTAGATCCACTGACTCCCAGTTTGAGAGGATTTTGTCTATTTCTTTCATTGTTGTTCCAAATACCCCCCAAAACATGTTCTGGGACCCCTTACAACCCACAACCCGGCTTGAAATCCGCTGATTTACGGCACAATTTCCATATTTTACACATCAAATAACTGCAAGAAAATCTAATCTATGGATCGAAATGTACGAGCTGTGACACCAGTGTCCTCTTAACACCTCTCTCTGCGGACAAACTTAAATTGGTCTAGAAATTCACTCGGCAGGTGCTATCGGAGTCTCGCGCCATGTGTCCAGTGTCAGTTTCCACCTTCCCCGGAGGAGACTCACCTCCTTTAACCTCCTTCTTCTCATGCTTCAGGTTTGGCCTTCGTAAGGTCAGTGCCAGCGAGCTGCAGCGGGACTAGAAAGGGAGGATATACTGGATTACTAAGCAACATTATGTGACTTTTACAACTTTTATTATCGTTTTTTTGGTCAGAAATGTAAAGTTTGGGTCCCCAGCATATAGAAACTGCCAGATAGTAACTTGCATATGTTGGGCAATAAGGATAATTAGCCGATTTGGACATATTAGAGTGGTTTTGGGCGTTATTGAGGATGCAAAATCCATTTCTGATGTTTGTTTATTTGCCCTGCGGCAGAAATATCACAATATAATAATAAACATATAAATGATCTAATAAAAGACTCAAAGGGAGTTGAAATGTATGTCCGGTTTAAATTTTGCATTGTTGATTCAGCATCTGCAATAACCCCCAAAATCACTCCAATATTGTCCAAATCAGCCGAGCAGTAGATGAAATACTGTCCTATACAAGTGAGTATGCTAATTAATGCTAATTATGCCAATGGTCCAACAACTGGGGACCCAAACTTTACATTTCTAACATAAAACTTTGGGTAACTCAACATTTCTGGGTTCATCTTTCTGGCAAGTAGACTAATGTGTAAGTTTGTACTGTTTGCAACTTTTTGGGCTCGCCATCTTCTAACATTACATACTGTGACGCCATCTTTCTCGGCTGCTTGAGAGTCGTTTGGTGACTCTGCTGCATTTATCGCCTCGATCTAAAGATTTTGCATCGTAACTAGTCCTAAGTTCTCGGTCAACTGCGAGGGTCGGTGCGCTTCAGTGAAGATATTAGAGATATTTGGTGCCATCTTTGGTTTAAAAACCCTGAATATAAGACAAACTCCACTTTTTCCAGATATAATTCAAACCTCCATCTTATATTCGGACCAGTAGCTGGCTCGTTAAGTTTTTGTGTGGTTGCTTGATGTTTGGCTCTGTCAGAAAAGTTGTCAACTGCCTAGTTGCTAACTGGCGTTAGCATAACAAATGTATACAATATATAAACACAAATACCAAACATTACACCTAAAACACAAACTTGAAGCTCCAGTTCCCGGTTGAAAAATACTGTAATAGATGTAATAAAGTGTCTGCGGTCCAACACTTTGTGACACCGGCTCTGTTACAGAGTGCGTCTCGTCATCCAATAACTGTGATGTGACGCTTTAACGCCGGCGCCTGCTGCGACGTGTTGGTTTTATTTATAAGTGCTAGAAGATGTGAGGAGACAGCAGCTGATTATCAGCCTTCCTTCAGAGAGGAAGAACTAATCAGTGAACACACACCTGCCTGAATAATCTGAAGGAGCTGGGGGTCGAACCAACAACCTTCTGACTGGACGATACCTTGTAGGGGTCCACATTTGTACTCAAGGTTTGAGGATTACGGAGCCAGTTGGGGCAAAGACTTGTACCCAGGGGCCTCACAGGACTATGATCCAACCTTGCTCGTGCTTCGGGATCCATTTGGTCAAATTAAATGGTGTAGTTGTCCCTGGAGAAGTTGGTATACTCTTTAATTTATGCCTCCAGCAATGCATAAATATTTTTGATTTAGTTCATCCATAATGTGCCGGAAGTACTTGCAGATTGTCACTTAACTCCATCCACTCATTAAAATTGGACAACTATCTCATGCCTTTGCCATCCTAGTAAAATAAATTCCCTGATTAACGTGTAAAATAAGTAGATATACTCAGTATTACATGCGTATCTATAGTATCTCTTACCTGTATTAGGGAGGACCTCAGGTGTTACCAAGAAAACTGAGTAATGGCTTTAAAAAAAACTGTGACCGTGGTAGAAATGGATAATGCCTGGCGAGATGTCCATTATCAGGAATTAATGGACGGTTCTGGCCTCCACATTGTCCTGATAATGGACACATAGCCAGGCATTATCCTTTTCATACCATATATCCCGACACTGATGCATCTGTGACAAACTATCGACTGACATTATTGACCATTACAATGTTTTAATTGGGTATTAGCAGGCCGACTAATGAAATACAGTAAAAACCTCCTTGAGAATCTCACATCTTCCACCACTCGTTGGCTTATTTTACATTACTTTCTGAGTTTTACTGGAGAGGTAAACAAACACACTCTCGTTCGTTTTTTGTATTTCTTCTGTCTCCTGATTTTGTTTCTTACCTGTAAGTCCTGAAGACAGTTTATGTTCAGGGCTCTGAGCAGTTCACCTCCTGCCTGAAAGGAGAACATTTAGCAGGTTAAGCAGATGCTAACGTGAGGAGCTTTTTTCGACAGGTTAGCGCTGCGGACATTGTAAAATGTAAAATACAAACTGTTGTGGCAGGTCTTGCTCCGTTGACTCATTTCTAATTCTGGCTGGTGTCTTAAGTAAAGAAGCAGCTGTTATCTGAGGATATGATACAGCCGTCAGCAGAGGTCAAATATAACCTGCAGTAACTCTGGGGAATGAGATGCCAAACACAAGACATTGTTGAGGCTGTTGAAGTGTTGGTGCCGAATTTAGAGTAGGAGTGCCCAAAGTGGAGCCCCCCCAGATGTTTCTAGTAAAAATAAAACTAATTAAAGTCCAGTTTTTAACCCTTTAACATCACATCCTCAGTTATATTGTTTCCCTGTTTAACAATGAATGTGAAAAAATGTACAAAAACTCAATTTATTTGTATTTTTATATCAAAATCATTGTGTCTTCCTGTAAAACTAAATGTGACGCGTGCTTACGTCAGCATGAACTAACTGACTTCAACCAATAATATCCAAACATCGGTGGAGCTCACTGATTACTGTACAAACACACAACTTTATCAGTGATTTGGGGGAAACTGGATCATATTTTATGGTGAGAATATTGTCTGGTTTTCCCTCTGACGTCCTCCGGCTGCTGGCAACAGTAATGTTAGATGCTGTTAATTAGCTTGTGCAGCTAACTGACTTAGCCACCGGGGAAGTTCCTCCCTAACTGCCTGTTTGTTTTTTTACAGGAGATACGTAAATATGCGAAGGTAAATAGCTCTCTGATTTCTGTTCCATGTTTTTTTTATTGATTTAAAAAAATGATAAGGAAGTCAGTGAAGGCGCTTCCATCCTACTACTATTGTGCATTTAAATAATATAAGCATCCCCTAAAATGAAAAGCACGCGTTCATACACATTCTCAAACTTATAATGACTTACAGGGAAGAGCTTTTACCTTGTTTTTCATCCATTTTATCTGCAAAAAAGGTTATAACATTTGTGTAAAAAAACTATTAAATAGGCTATAGATTATTCACATTAATGCAAAAAATCATGATTGTTATGCATTTAGCATTCAGTATGACGTCATTATATGGACTGACTTTCTCATTTCCAACCATAAAACCACGTCATTTGTAACTGTCAGTGCAGATCAGAGGCTTATGTGATCGGGATTATTATGGGACTATTATGGGACTGCTGTAAAAGAGGGGCCACGAAACACAAGCCTCTACACTAAATGTCTGACAATCCTGTGTCATACTCTTCAGACATCACTATTCATGATGTATGACTGTTTGCTCAGCAGAAATACAGCAAATCACTGATACTCACAGGCTGGAACCAGATAGAGAGCCTACATAATTAATAGTTTAATACTGAATATACTGCTACATACCACAGATAGGTAATCACTGTTTTATTCTGTGACAGCTCAACAAAATTCCCGTTAAGGAATTGGAAACAACTGCAGAGACTAAAGGAGCAGCTGAAACTGAAACCTCCCCCGTCCACATAAATAACTTTGTAAGATTGTTTTGCTTGTATTATTGTTACTGGCAATAAAACCACAAGATTTATGGTCTGATGCCAGCAGGGAAGACAGGATTTATCTGACAGCACAACGAACCTACCTCTGCAGCAAAGAACAGCTCACATTCAATAATCTGCAGTAAGAAAAGAAAAAGAGAAAGTTAAGTAATTATTGTGAGAGAAATGTGACTTTAAGATCCATAAATAATAAAAGTAATAAACTCACCTTATCTGCTCCGGCTGGAAAAAGGTTTTTTTGGCTATTTGTAACGTTGAACAAACATCAAATATTAAAATAAAAAGGCTACAAAAATTAACTTAATTATTTAAATCTGAGCAGTCTGTTTGTTAACACCAAAATAAAGTCTTTAGGTAGCTTGTCCATGCTAACAATTACCCGTAACATTAGCTAACGATCAACTGAACTGTGAACTAGGAGTGTTATTTGAAGTAAACCTTTCAGAAAATCCCAAATTATTGATTTATATTCTGCAAACTGAGAATTTATTAATTTTTATAAGACTTTTAAATATTCATCATGAAAAGTTTCGTAAGCAAGACATTAGCTTAAAGTAAATGTTAGCAAGTAGCGTTAATTCTCGAGCAGTTACGGTTAAAGTTGTGCAGGATGAGAGAAAAGTTAATATTTTCTTTCTTTCTCAACGTGTTTTTCACCTTATACAAGCCCGCTGCTACAAGTTCTCATGTTCTCACTTTTAGCATAATGCTAACGTGCTAACCTAAAATCTTCTGCTTCTGTCCCCAAATTCTCGGTAAGCGGCCGACACTCCCAAAAGGTCTTTAATTTAAGATCTAAATTTACAGTATTTTGAAAATGAACTCGGGCAAAGAGTTTACAAATTCAACATGAACCAGGTAAACGTGAAGCTTCTTGTATTTAATGTGACAGCAACAAGACGAGAAAAGTACATCACATTCCTGTTTGAACAGTTTAGAAAAGATGACATGATGTTGTTTAGTACAGAAAGTCGGCTGAACTAAAAACTTCTGCAACAGAGGAGTGTTTCTTGCTTTACTGACCGTTAGCTTGCTAAACTCTTTGTTTCTTGCCAACTCTCCACCGGACATCGAACATGTGACACGCATGGATGGAAGCAGACAATTAGCATAGAGTTAGAATGAGACAGATTTATTAACAATTGATTAATTACATTTGAAAATAAGCTAAATCTGCGTTAGCCTGAAGCTTTATGGAACAAAATGGCCTAACGATGACTCGATGATTTGTCTGCATGTGGATGAGTTAATTAACAGAACTCTAGTAGGCATTATTCACTCATTTTGTATTACAAAAGATGTTAAACAGTGAAATAAAAGTGTATTTCTTCAGCTGTCAGTTCATATGATGCTAGTTTTATTATTATTTTTAATGCAGAAGAGATATGTTGTAAGACATATCTCTTTTGAAGTAAAAGCAATAAATAAATAAAAATAGTATCATATAAGCAACACACAGAGTAAATGAAGGTGATTATACAAGGGCAGCTGTAGCTGTGTAGGTTTTTTATGACGGTACATCGCAGGTACGGCAGTATTTTAGTTACTAACCCTAACTGACATCAGTACGTACAGTACAAATACATCACAGTACAGTGTCAATACAGGCAGAAAGCAGAAGGCAGCTTAGATTCAACTGAAGAGTTTTATTCCAACGTTTAAGATATCCAAAAACTACCCGAACTCCGCCTCCTCCACACATCGCAGAAGGATAAGGTACGAATATAATTTTACGCAATCAACTATCATCACTTTTAAACGATTAAGGCCATTCATCACCTACTTTACCCCCACCAATAAAGCTTAATAACGCTCGCTTGTTGATCAATATAACCTCCCAACTCTTCTGTTCAATAAGGTAGGTTTTACAGTGGATATGCAGTATTTTTGGAATAAAACTCTTCAGTTACAAAGACATTAAACCTGAATTCTGTCCCGAAAACGATTGACGACAGATCACATTTAACCATCGAACATCTTCTTCCTATCAGACTTGTCTTCGATGTTCTTACGCCAGTCGCCCACATCGCGCAGCTGCTTGTCCTGTGAACACAGATAATGTTTAATTTAGTTTACACCAATGTATAAACATATTTTAATTGGTTGAACAGATACAAATAATATCTACGGGTTTTGACTGTACTTGACGTAATTGCTAATATCATTGCCAGTGCTTCATATCGGAAGTGTTCTGGTTTCCGCTCTGAGTCCGAGTAGTATCGATCACATTTGAAAGAGCTACAAGAATTTAACTTTTTATGACCTTTTTTTTAAATGTATCTACATTCATATGCAGATATCTATTTATAGAGATTAACTGAAATGTGGTCTGGACAGAATCCAGTTGCTAACCGAATTGTAAACAATGACCAGCGCCAAAACGAGGAGGTCTTGGTCCGGATATCAGTTACCCAGGTATCCGCTGTCTACACCAGATACCCTGAAACATTGACTGTTGCCCCCAGGAGCTAAATCGTTATCAGACGATAGCCAATGGGTTCCAAGCTTGCTGTTACCTTATGATGGCCAAACTAAATTGAAATAAACCAGATGAATCCGTAAATCCCGCATGCAAGATGGACAGAAAATTCACTTGTGAGTTTGTACGACCCAAAAATGACCTACAGCCACTTCTTTAGTCGGGTTCAGACTACACGATATCAGCCCGATTATAGTCCGACAATGGGCATCGGGCGCAACAATTGATTGTTTTATCCCATGTAGTGTGTCATAATGGACGACAATCAACGCCACATCTGGGACGCCTCACAAAGTCCAGAGAAAAATACTAGCATGTGCTCCAAACATTGACCAATACTGTCGTTCCTGGAAGTCTTTCCCTCGCACCTCCTAACTGGCAACATCACACACGTTGGGATAGTTGGAAAGCAATGATTGGTCGGAGAGAAACATGTAATCTGTTGTGTCTCTTGGGCAGGTTCACGCCAAGAATTTGTGACTCTATAATCCCTGAATCTGACGCAGTGACCTTCTTAATATTGCACAGTCCGATCCCGACATTAGGGAAAACGTGTTGTAGACTATCGATGGCATTGTTGAGTTTGAGACTAAACCAGCTATAAACTCACCTCCTCTTTCACCTCCTTCTTGACCTGCTTCAGGTTGGCTCTCAGGTCCATGTTGACCGTGTGCTTGGAGCCCAGCAGAGCCTTCAGCATGGCGTCGGCGGACATACGCACTTTCTTCAGACGGGGTCTCTTGAACTTTCCCCTCAGATCCACAATCTTTATGTTGAGGTCTCTGACCTTCAGGACGATTCGGGACAGAAGAAACAATTAAAAACGTTTCTATTACAGGTTAGTTACACAGGCAGTGCTGTTCTGTTGTCTTATAGAATACGTTAAGTCATCGGATGTATGTTTCTTTTCTCTTTATTTGCATATTTTGTGTTGAGGTAATCCAAAAGTAATAGAAAGTAACCAAGTTATATTGTGATACTTGGATTAGGTTACTGAATTACTGAGTAATTGTATCGAATTACATTTTAAAGTAACCTTCCCAACCCATTAGTATTCAATGTAGGAAGTTGGGAAACTGGATGGATGGTGTGTTACGTCCCCCCAATCCAGCAGCTGTAGTGGATCCATTAGCTGGATTTAGCTAAGGAGGACAGTTTGACGACAGGGAATAAAGTACTGAGGTGGTTTTATTGCCGGTTTTGGCTGCTGCTACCCCGGGGCTAAGTTAGGTAACATAAGCTGCACAAGCTAACAGCATTTAACATTACTGTTGGTGACAATTAGCTTCTTTAAGCGACGTAAATCACCTCGGTACCGCTGTCGTCAAACTGTCCTCTGTCTGTCTCGGAGGCTGTGTTCACTACACTACAAAGAAATTGAGATTTGTAAATGTTTTGGCAGACATAGTTAAATATAAGAACAATATAACTGAAGATGTGATCTTAAAGGGTTAAAATTAAAGTAGATTACTTTATAAAACTACAGTTAAACTAGAATCAGTACAATAAACAGACCTGTAAAAGTGTCTCACCTCATTGAGAACCATGTTGAGCTTGAACTCTATGCAGTATCTCTCCTCCTCACTGATGTGAATCTCCTCATGGAGTTTCTTGCAAAGTTCCTGAAGAGATAAAACAGTCTGTTATTCAGTTTACTGGATGTTTTTTTAAGTTTTGACCTCTTTTATCTGAAATAAACTTAAATTATTTAATATCTAGTCTTATTTTTGTAAAATTTTATCAGTTTGTGCTTTTAATGTCGCCTGTATATTGAAAGAAAACAGCTAGTTTGAAGCCTTAGCGGAGTTTACAGAGGGATTATTCACATCAGAGCTGCACCATATGGTACAAACATCATATTGCAATTGCACTTAAGTAGAACGCTGTTAATATGTTTATGTACTAATGCGTTAAATGTGCCATGTAGAGCTCAGTCAGACACACAGTAATAACCCGTCTGTCCTTTCTGTCTCACCTCGAGCTCGTCCTTGGAGTACGGCAGCTCCAAAGGAGGACATTTATCCGCCAGGAACGTCTCCCTCTCCTTCACCTTCACAGTTGATTCGGCCTCCAACAGATTATTGGCCACCACCAGCATACAGCTCTGTGGGTGAGACATCAGCAACGTTTTCATCTGAAACTGTCTAAAGCAGCATCTCTGCTCTTCTTCTTTATACATAATAATAATAATAATAATGATAATAATAAAATAATAAATATATTCATACTTTCAGAGTATGCTTACGCCTCGCAGACAGTCTTTTCCTGCAGAGGAAAACACAAAACATGAATCAGATCTAAATTAAAGTACATTGTTATGAATAAATGCATACATTTGTTATTATGTGTTTTATTAGAATCATGATACAACTGTTTTATAAAATAAATATAAGATAAATGTCCCATAATAAGATAAAATGCCAACATACTGACAAAAAAACCCAGCATTTTGGTCAACATTAATGTTTTTCTTTCACTTTTACACACACACTATGGGACACTTAACCTTAATATGATTTAGTCACACGTTAGCAAAGTTTTAAGTTGTTAAAGCAACTTTAACTAATAAATAAACGTATTATTAAATTATGTATATTTGGCCGAAATTGTCTGAACATTTACGACCTCACGTTGTGTCAATTACGTTGACACACCGACTCCGAAAGTTTTCTGAAGAGGTTCCGATTTTCTGCGTTTTTTGGTTGAACTAACTGAGAAGTAAAGAATTTTTACATTAAAAAATTTTTATATTGCACCGTAACCAACTGGTAAGTAATAAAGACTGCAGTTCCTCTAACGACCACTAGAGGCTGGCTCCAGCACTGAGTCTATCTCCATAAGCCCCATATTAAAATATACAGCAGAAATAAACATGTTTACAGCTAATTTCCCCCTTTCATGACAACTGTACGTTTATACAACTCACCCCTTTACATTATATTAAAGGCTTAAAATGATGCCTGTTTCCAATCGAGTATATGAGACATCCTATCTAACAAACAGTAAATAATAAACAACATATCGATGCATTTCAAACAGTTCACTCACTCATCAACCATCTTAGCTGCAGGATCCATGTTACCTGGTAGAAAAACACAAAGGACTCCATTAAAATTACTTCTTTCTTTTAACTTTTGATGTTTAATGATAAAACATAGATTTTTCTCAAACATCTGGTACATGTGACACACAAAATATACACACTTTTATATGTTTTACTGCAGTAGAAATGGTCCACCAGTGCGTACATCGGTATTTTTGCTTATTTTGATGTATTTTCTTTGAGTATGTTGAAATGATTCAGATCCCTAAAATCTGTTAATCCTAAACTAAAAGGTTATATGAGTCAATAAACCATAATAATTGTAAAAAAAGTATTGAAGTTGAGCTTATAAATTAAAAAAAATATATACAAACAAGTGATTCAAAAGATTTCTGAGTGTCGAAACATGAACAAAAGATTTCTGGATATTTTTAGAGGCTTAAGATGCAGGTATGTTTTTATTACTTTGTCCACGTATGAAGTGAAACCTCCGGGCATATATCAATAGGAAAGATTAAAAACAAAGCTCCTCCAAATATTTACTTTCAGCTGTTCTGTTTCAACCTCCTCCTCCTCCTCCTCGTTCCCACTGTAGAAGCTCACCTGTCTCGTGTTTCGTGTTTTGGCTCTCTATGTTAATTCTATCTTGAGACATCACGATAATTCCAGGAAATTTCGCGGAACTGAACTTTGTAACCGGGGCCGCGTTAATGCCTTTGAGGACCACGGCGCTATTATTAGCAGCACGGCTCTGGGGATACTGGTGCAACACTGCCGGGGCAGTTAAATATCTCCACTGCTATTGGATGGATTGCAATGAAATTAAATGTTCTTTTAGCGCCACCAACAGGTCAAAATGTATATTTCCAACTTCATGACAGGAAACCTCTGAAACTGACGGCTGAATTACTTTTAGCCTAAGATTAACAAAAAATTGTTAACACAGTCTGAATATTGCACATTAGCGTAACATGCTGAATTTATGTGCTGCACTTTAGAGTATTACCATGTTAAATAAAGGTATGGGAACATGTTGAATGTTACGTGGTAAAAGTTAGTATTATAGCAAGCTAAATGCGACACTATAGCATGTTGGTGTAACAAGCTATTAGCTGGTCAAATATTTCCAAAACTAATGCTAATATAACATGCTAACACCAGCAGGCTAATGTGTTAAATGTTAGTAAGAAAAATGATGATGCAAATTAGCCCGATAACAAGCTTTAGGATTTCTGGTGTATAATTAGCATTACAGCCGCTATTGATAGCAGTGACTTTTTATCTTGATGCATCTTTTTACTCTTTCGACTATTAATAATCTTTATGTTACATTAATACGTTAAATATTAAATATTATAGGTTATATGATTTAAGCTTTTGATTTTCTTAATTCAGTATTAAAAAATCACGTCTTCAGCTTCAGTAAGTGATTGATTGATTTTATAAGTCTACACCGCATCAGAAAAGAACAATTACATAATTTAAGAGACGTGTTCACTTTGATGGACGAAATCTGGGTTTCACATTATCCTGAATCTAATATAAACCAGTCTGGAAGGTGAGAACACATCCATCCGTCTTAAACTCTCTACAAGATGATTTGGAGAAATGTTTGGCAGTGATGAAGTACGTGTGATATGTAATCCAAACTATGGGTTTAATTCGATCCTCTGTGTGTCATTTACTCTCAGTGCTGTCCTCATACCAAACAGCCAGCATTGAATAACTAAAACACAGCCCTGAACCACAACCCAGAACAACAGTGTTCATGTGGCCGGTTTCAACCTCCCCATCGCAGCTGATATATTTTTAACTCTAGGAAATTCCATTCACCGCCATTGTTGTTGGGATTAAGGCAGAAATCTCCGCGAGCCGAGCGGATTAGCAGCCAAATAAAACCAAAACTATCTGCCAGTGACGGAAGAGTAAAAGTACAACGTACATTTACTTTAAGTTCTACATTCAAACTCCTGTTTTTCACTTCATTGCAGGATAAAATTAAATAAATTAACTTGGAACCTAATGCTAAAATGCTAATTGTTTACACATTATTGTCTTGTGTAAACAATGCATGCTAGTGTAACATGTATAAGCTGTCTTATAAAATATTACCATGCTAAATGAGGGTATGGAAATATGTTAAAAGTTAGCATTATAGAAAGATAAATGTTGCCAATGAAAAAACTAATTCCTACTTAAACAAAAGTACATTAACGTTACCGTACATTATTAGATTGTTGATGCATCACTGTTAAAGCAGCATTTTATTGCTGTAGCTAGTTTTAACATCTATTTTTATACAAAGTTAGCTAGTTTAATCCAGTGGTTCGGGGTCGGGCCCGTCCATCCTTTCCCTCTTTGAAATGTACGTAAATTAAACCGTAAGAGAAGTTTTAGGGTTGTGTACTGATTAAAAGCTAGCGATTAAAATACAAGGGTCACAATGTTTTGGGGGAAACTAAAGAACATTAAGAAATAGTTTTTAACGCAAACAGAACATCACATCCCTCAGTTTACAGCACTGAGTTTACAGCACTGAGTTTAAGGAGTTTAGGGGCGAAATTGGTTAAAACTGCCGCTCACATTTCATTTACATCTGATTTTGTTGTAAATTATAACACAAAATGTTAATATTTACTAGATTGTACTCTATAAACATGTGTTTTACTGTCAGATAATCTCCGCTGAGTTGTAGAAGAGTGGCACTCGAGTTTATGCACTCAGTTACTTCCCCCCCGCTGCTCGTCGGCATGAACAGAAACCACCGGACTGGGCAAACGGCCCTTTAGGCGCCCGACTGGAGGACTTTGAGGCCTCCTCCAGAGCTACCCGGAGGGCCACGTAGCTGTTTGTTTAGGAGCTGTGATGCAGCAGCGGATTAAGACTCTATTCCTGGAGCCACAGCTGTTCCTAACCTCTTCATTATGGAGGAGGAGAATAAAATGACAGCGAGTTCATCTTGAAAGAAAAGACGTCTGACAACCACTGCAGGCATCCTTAAACACATAGCTGGCCCGGGAACAAATGGTCGCCTTCTGTGAACCAATAATAGGCGACGGAGGGGGTATCTCCGGGGCTGACAATGTATTTTAGGACATTCGAAACCCAGAGGGCATAACAAAATGTTACTCTGGAGATGGAATAATATCTGCAGGGTTAAATTTGGGGCGCTGATTTTTTGTCTTGAATGTGTGTGCGTATGTGACGGGTTGGGGATTGTCTCTGGAGGGAGGGTAGGTAGGGTTCGCAGTAACCCAACACCACAGAACATCCCTCGGATGGACAAGACGTTAGAGTGTATCACAAAAATAACTTGCTGCTCAGATGCTTGTACAGTTCATCTGCTTCACGCTGAGAAAAAGACAGGACAGAAAGGTAGAGTACTGTTACTTAAACATAACCGAAGCAAAATCTTTGACGAAATAAACCTTTAATGTTGCCTTAAGCGTTTGAATGCGTGTGAAGAAAAACAGGCTAAATTTGGTGAGCGCGGATTAAAGCGAAGTCTACAGTGAAGGCAGAGACTGAGGTTGGCAGCCGCGGCAGATTAGACTGGGTTTTCCTCTGAACCCCTTGACGCTGACAGGAGGATAAACACTGAGGGATCGATTTCCAAGTTCATGCCTTGTAGTGGTGTTGCCTTTCAGCGTGCCACATCACCAGGCCGTATATCATCGGTTTGCCACTGCAGCACAGTCGACCGCATATCCAAAGAGCTGCTAAAACAACAGTCCTTTAAAACCCTTAGAAATCCAGAAAAAACACTCAAACACTTTTTGAAGAATTTCACCTGATGTAACATCAACAAAACATGCCACAATTATTAAATTCCTAGTTAAGAATTCACAAAAACATCAAAACAACCATCAATTTTTGGCTTTTAAACTGATCAAACTAACTAAAAACACTTGAATCGAAAGCCGACACATCCTCTCGACCAAATATTCTGCAAAAAGCTAAAAAATAAACGTATTTTCTACAACCTTCCTCTCAACAAACATAAACTCCCAAACAGCCGTACAGACAAGATGAAGCATCTGCGACTGCAAAGAATGTGTATGCAACAACCGACATAATCAATGCTTTGTCATCTAGCATCAAACAGGCAGAGAAAGAGTTCTTACTTTAACCGAGTGGAGCGTGTTAAAGAGTCCCAGAGTCCCAGGCAGACGAAGTGTTAAGAAGGTATATATTGCAATCTCTGATAGCCCTCTAAATCCTCCACTTTCTCTTTATGGAAGTGGATTACTGGTCAAACCAATGAGCTGGCAAGGTCATGAAATACAGTACAGTGTCATCTGCCCCCTTCCTCGGCTCGCCTCATTATAAATAACCCGCCCTTTAAGATTATTATCTGTATTATCTTGTGCCATCAAGCTCCTGACGGACAGAATGCAGGAAAGTGATTAAACCACGCAGGCATTTTGTAATCAACAGTTAATATATAAATATATATATAGACGGATGGAAATGATTTAGAGCTTTGATTTATTATGTATATAAATAGTAGGTAAACACTCACTGGATGAAATATGTGTCACTATGTTGATGAAAGATGCAACAAAGACTAATTAATAAGAACAAAAAGGGATTTATAGGTTAGTTAATTTACAGAAAATTGCAGTAGGTAACTTTTCTAAAAATACGTTTTTGTTATATTTGCTGAAGCTTTCACTATATCCCGACAGAAGAACATGAGACAGATAATCTGTGAAATAATCAGGTTCCTTTGGCTCCTCCTAGTGCCCTTAATGCTATATGTAAGAATCCACTGGACCCGAACGACAACAACCAATCAGAGCAGAGAAAGACGCTTCAGGTTGGTGGATTTAAGATAGTTGACGTTTGAGTCTCATTCCCAGAATTAATATTTGACAATCTGAGACTAAGAAATCAACTTTCTTTCTCTGCTCTGATTGGTTGCTTTCATTCGGGCCTGGTGGATTCTTACAAATACCATTTAGGGGCACTAGAACCTGATTATTTAACAGATAACTTTACGTGTTCGGCGCACAGATGTTTAACGTGGCAGACAACCTCTGTAGTCTAATTTAGTCGCTTGTTAGCAACCGCCTTTTTAAAGACACGTTCAAAACATGATCCAAAAATTTTGTATTTACTGACAAATTTTATGTCGTAGAATAAAGCGTGATAAACTCACGTCAACCTCAGTCCGCTGACTTCGAGATGAAGTCCACAAGGTGCTTAAATGTTTGAGTCTGATGACAGTTAATCATAACTCAACATTTTACCTTGATATTTTTACTTCTGATGTAAAACAAACCTTCAACAATATCAGATAAAAATCAATAACTCAGATTTTGTCGTTTATATATTAAAATCGCCACCAATCGAAAGGACCCTTTTTCTTTACATTCGGATTAAATGAAAGTTGAACTCACTGTGTGTCGTTGCAGGAAGATACTCAGATTAATACCTGAAATGTAAAAAATAAAACTGTCAGACAAAACAGACGGCTTCTCATTGATGTAAACTCAATTAAATATGATATAAAACCAGTAATTGAAATCTATAAAACTTAAATCTATAAAGCTGATAAAGTTTGATGAAGACCAGTTTATTTTCACCTCCTATTTAGCATTTACAAGCAGTGTATTAAAGTTTAATATACGGTTTATAACACATTATAATGTAGTTATAAGCACATATAAGGAAATGTTTGAGTGTTTATTTACAAACAGTAGTCAACAATTCTAATTTCTAATATTTTATATTATTTCTGGTGTGTTTTACTATATTTCCAGTTCATTATATACACATTTACGATAAAAATAAATCAACTAAAACAACCTATTAAAATAATAAATTATTTAAGAAAAGGATTAACTTACCTCATTTTTCCTCAACTGGACGAATTCTACTCACAAAAAGAGATTTGTGTTTCGATTTGAAACCAAATGTCACCAGTCAGAAGATAAACGGAGTTAATTTATGGGGAGAAATTCTTTGGGTTCATATTTCTCACCATAAACTTCCACCTCCTTCGCTAATGTGTCCGACACCATTACGGGTTTTTACACATCATAAAACGGCAACAACCATGAAACAAAACTCAGTTTGAAGCTCCGTGTTTATGTTCACTGCTTTTCCCCCACAAGCTTAAGAGAAGCATTCATTAACAGTTTCTATCTATCTAACCTGTTTCTAACCCAGGTCGTCTGCTTTATGGTCTATTTGACTCTAAATGGGACCATCAGTTACTAAATGAACATCATGCTGTATGGAAGAAGACTCAAACTAGGGACTGAGACCATAAACTCATCAGGAAACTGTTTACTGAGCTCTTGAATCAACTAAGAAGTTGACTAATTTCTCCATAAGACTCAATACTATCTGATGTTTTTTGCAGCCAGTGGAGCTGCCCCCTGCTGGCCATTACACACTCCGTTATATATACTGTCATAGTGTGAAACGGTAGCAGTTTGGTTGGGTTTTGGCACCAAAATTACTTGGTCAGGTTTAGGAAAATATCATTTGGGTTAAAATAAGTTTCCTAAGTGACGCCGCAGGTCACCTGACACACGTTATGTAACTTAAGTAACTTTAAACTTTAAATATGAACCCTGGAAGTCACTGATTCAGAGCTATTAAGGTGATAGATTTAAAATATTGCTGTCATATGTTATAGTATTTATAGTATCTTTTGCTTTGTAGCAGAACTCCAGCTAACTAGCTCGCTAAATATTGATGTAGATTACCTGGCAAGTTGTTAGCTAATATATGTCGCTATTATCTTTTTAACCATCTTTAAAATGTGGTTTTCTTGTCAACATAGATTAGCCTAGCAGATAGCGTATGTATGTACAGGAAAGGAGGAAGTTGACCGAGGCTCACTCAACTGTGATTGGAGCGCAGAGCCAAAAAGGGGCGGGGCTTAGGAAGGGTCAGTTGTTCTTTTGAGACAGTTTTTTTTAACACGAAAATGCGTAAATCCAAGTAAGCAGGACAAAATGGCTCCTTCAGAAGGTCTTGCTTGTTTATTCGGTTTCTATAGTTTACAGCTTAAAAAACTTATTTGTGCTATCTAAGCAGTTTTCCGGATAAACCGGCAATGAAAAAACAGGAACTTATAATACTTCCGGTAGAGCAGAGGCAGTTTTTTGGGGGGCTGATGGGACATTGATTTAAGCTTCGCCCTCAAACATCTTCTTCCTCCCGTCCATGCCGGCTTTGTCTTCAATGTTTTTACGCCAGTCACCAATGTCACGCAGTTCCTTATCCTGAAACACCAAGACGAGCAAAAATCAGAGCTAGAACCAGCTAACGATAGAGATAGTTAGGGTATGTTATGTTTATATACTTTACTTACTTTTTAAATCTTGTACAGGTGAAGCAAAATATATTAATCGCCAAAGAGAATGAATCTAGACATTACGAGGGTCTTCTTGGTTTGGGTTAGGGTGAAAATATGAGGGTACGATAATCGGAGTAATTCAATTACCGCACATAAAGTCAATTAGTTACTAAGTAAAGTTTGTTTTAAATGTCTCTTAGCAATGCTCACAGCTGTCATATATATTATTTTACTTTTATTTGTTGCTGTGGGACAAATGCATGTAGTTATTAACACTCCCGAACACCAGAGGGCAACAATGAGTAGCGTTCCTACCACTATTTTAAAGTAACGAGCCAATTTAAATTGTAGTAATTGTGTTATTTAATTTGAAAAAGTAATTTCTTACAACGGTACTTTTTTACTATGTATTTTGTTTTCAAAAGTACAAATAAAAATGACAAAATTAAGTTAGTTTTAACTTAAAAGCAATGAAAGTTTCAACAATGGTTAGGTTATTTAATTAAAAAAAAATCAACAGTAGTTACCAAAAGGAATAAGTAACACGCTACTTTATAACACGCTACTCCCAACAGTGGCCATGACTTCGCCATCCTGGGGAGAAAAAAACTGGCAAACAGGGCACTGATGGGAAGCAGCAGAGCTAATAAATGATGTGATATCAGATTGTACTCAAACGCAACGATACCTGATCCTGCATTTCAGGCAGTTTCATCCAAAACATCCACAAACCGGCCAGTTCCTCACCTCCTCTTTCACCTCCTTCTTGACCTGCTTCAGGTTGGCCCTCAGTTCCATGTTGACGGTGTGTTTGGAGCCCAGTAGAGCCTTCAGCATGGCGTCGGCGGACATACGCACTTTCCTCAGGACAGGCTTCTTGAACTTGCCCATCAGGTCCTGAACTTTGATCTTCAGGTCGTCAATCTGGAACGTGGAGATGGAACCCATTCTGAATTTACTACAAAACAGCTTCATACTGAACTGAAGGAGATTAACAATCTAATACAGCCCAGACAAAATACCAACCACTGAATGTTTTTCAATCAATAAATTTTGTTTTAATTCGTTATTTGAAGATATACTCTAATGCCATAAGTTATTTTAACTCAAAAACATGTTCAAAACTGATTAAATCAAACAAGTAACACAAACTCTTAGAATATTCTTGATTAAGCTGCTTTTACTAGTAATTTTAAGTGACAGAAACATTCCTAGTTAAGTAGTTTTTACTAGATATTTTGTTTTTACAGTAAGTCAGTGTCACTTAAAATTACTAAAACTACTTAAACCAGAACTAAGTTAGTTATACTTGCATTTTTTTAAAGTTTCAACTATTTTTTGAGTTAAATGAACTTATCTTGTTTTACAGTGTATAAAAGAAGAGCCCTGCTCTCTATTGAGTCGACTGGGTGTATCGATCAGTAAAAGAAACAAGGTTCTACCTCTTTGTTGGCTTTGTTGACTTTGTTCTCCAGGTCGTATCGCTCCTCGTCGATCACGTCAATCTTGTGGTGGATCTCACGGCACAACTCCTGAACACAAACATCGGCAAAATGTCACAATACCAAAGTGACGCACTGTGGACCCGAAATACTTCATCACAATATCAAATACATCTAAATTAAAACTTAGTTTGTGTGCTATGAACCCTATGACACTTTAGCATTAGCATTTTCAGGCAATAAGAAAGATGTAAGATTTCAATTTGTTATATATTCCTATAAATTATATTTTATAATAATAAATATAATTTATAATAATACATTTGCTGGGGTCCCCCTGGCGGCCCCCACTTTGAGAGAAAGCACTGCATTATGGGACATACCTGCAGCTCCTGCATGCTCCTGGGCATGGACACGGGAGGACAGTTCTCATCCATGTACCTCGTCCTCTCCTCCTCTTGCTCCCTCTCTTCGTCCTCCAGTAAACCTT